TGCAAAGCAGAGGGGAGTGCACTGAGGGTATTCACTGATTCATTTGTTAACAAGTATTCAAGTATTCAACGTTCACCACTACCGGCCAGGGACTGGAGACAGAGGTGAGTGAGGCCGGATCCCTGCTCTCAAGGGGCTCTCAGTCTGTGGGCGGCGGGGGGCGGGGGGGTGGCAAACACGTACACAGAAGATTATGTGGAAAGTCTGCAGTTGGAGGAGGGGGTGCTGGGAAAAGAGGTGCCTGGCCAGTTGGGGGAGGTGGGAAGGAGGCAGGGAGGGTGCAGAGGAGGAGATCTGAGCTGAATGTTAAAGAGGAGCAGGGGGTGGTGGAGGAAGGCCACACTCACTGTGCTAGCTGGGCTCCAGGTTGACAAGCGGCCTGGCTCGGAGAGGGGAACCCCTCCCCGCCCCAGACCTAGGGCCTCTGGAAGCTGCTAGTAGGTTTGAGGAACCCGACCATGTCAGTACTTTGGGGCAAGTGTCCCAGAAACATTTTAGTGACCCCGTGTGTGATTCGTGTGTGTCTTGTCCCCACAGTGGCCTCTCCTACTTTCTTCCGTGCAGACTGGAGAGAGGCCATCTTGATGGTAAATTTCCCAGCACACACATGGCAAACGCAGATAGTGACTCTGGTTTTAAGGCTCTTCCGTTTGGGGAGCCCCCAGTCTTGCCGGCGCACCCGATTCCATGGCTATACGTCAGGGGGTGAGACAATTTAAGAAATGCCGTCAAATATGGGATGAAACAGCTGTACCTTGACCAAGTCTTCCAGGGTGTGAATGGACTCGTCCACAGCAACCAGGTAGTGAAGCTTGGGCACGTGGTCTATTATGTTTTGAATCACTCTGCCGCCCACCAGGAGAAGCCATCGCCAGAGGGGAGGAAGCGAAAGAGATGTGGTCAAGTAGGGTTCACCGTCCACCGCCGCCATGGGCCAGCCAGCATCTCCCTCCATGGCTAATGTGGTCGGCTGGGGGCGGTGGGAGGGAGGGATGGCAGTCTCTACGGACGGGGAAGCGGGTAAAGTCCAGTGACACTCCCGGGGCTGAAGAGCCGCTGGGAAAGTAGAAAGGCCAGGAGTTGAGGGGCCATCCGTCTGCCTCCAGATTCTCTCGGTGCGCAACAAAGGGCACCTGACGACCAGCAGGACTTCAGTTTGTGAAATCTGCTCACCCAGGGGCTCCTGGGAGTCTCTCAAGTGCTCCGGAGAGGGGGTTTCACAAAGTCAGACACAGATTCAGAGAAGCCGTGGCTGTCTTTGGGGAACTGCGTGGCGCTAAGAGGCAGGTCAGGGGCTAAGATTTCCTGCCCTGGGTCAGTCACGATTGCCAACATCCAAGGGCCCGCCTCTGGGCGAAGGCTGTGCCGTGGGCTTTCTGGGTGTTCCCTCCCTGACTTCTCACAAGTCTACCAGGCGGGTACCGTTGCTATCCCCATCTTATTATTTTTTCTTTTTTTTTTTTTGTTTTGTTTTTTAACGTTTATTTATTTTTGAGACAGAGAGAGACACAGCATGAACAGGGGAGGGTCAGAGAGAGAAAGGGAGACACAGAATCGGAAACAGGCTCCAGGCTCTGAGCCATCAGCACAGAGCCTGATGCGGGGCTTGAACTCACGAACCGTGATATCACGACCTGAGCTGAAGTCAGACGCTTAACCGACTGAGCCACCCAGGCACCCCCATATTATTATTTTTTAATGTCTATTTGTTTTTGAGAGAGACAGAGTGCAAGCAGGGGAGGGGCAGAGAGAGAGGGAGACACAGAACCTGAAGCAGGCTCCATGCTTAGCGCAGAACCTGACTCAGGGCTCAGTCTCACGACCCTGGGATCATAACCTGAGCCGAAATCAAGAGTCGGACACCCAACTGACTGGGCCACCCAGGCGCTCCTGTATTTTGTGTTCATAATGTAAAGGATTCTTTCACATCTTTAAAACCTAATAATGTAATAATGTAAAGTGTCCACTGGAAAGAAGGGTACGTTTCAGCGTTTCCATGTCCAGTGTTACATGTTGGCTAGAACAGATCTAGGTTTTGCACGCAGTCTGGAGTTGATATAATTTGGAGGATGCGTCTTTGAGAAAAATAATAAAACTTAAATTTAGGACCTTGGAAGAGACCCACGTAGCGGTGGGGGTCTTGAAATCTAAGCTTCATGGTTTCCCAGTAAATTTGTAAACCCACCCGGGATTACGACTAATTGCCTAAATGACCACTGGAATCTAGAAGCCAGAGTCTCAGGGAAGGGCTGAAACTGCTCACTCCTGGCGGGGGGTGGGTGGGAGGGTGGGTGGAGGGGGGTGCAACAGGGCAGTAGAATAAAGCCCCCGGAACCTAAAATGTAGAAGTGATAAACCATACAGTGAACCCTCTCTCTGACCCCAGCGTCCAAGTCAGGGTCTGCAAAGAGGAAGGCTCTCCAGACGTGTCTGGAGCCTAGCGCTGGGATACAGTGTGAGTGTGAAACACGTGTGCTCAAGTGGCCTACAATTGCCAAAAACACCTGCTTCAGGTTTAGAATTTGCGATCTGATTTCTGGAACTTAATTAAGTTGGTAGGCTGGACACAACACTCTCACCTGAGACAGAGGAACAAAAGAGTAGGTCCCCAGAATGCACATAACACAGTCTTACCTTTTCCCGAATTGGAAGGCATGCTGTTCTGTGGGAGAACAGTCTAAAAGATGACCTTGAACTTGTCATCCAAAGTGCAGCACTTAAAATTTTTTTTTTTTTACGTTTATTTATTTTTGAGACGGAGAGAGACAGAGCTCTGTTCTTAATCCCCTCTGTTCTCCCCCCATGATGGGGGAGGGTCAGAGAGAGAGAGGGAGACACAGAATCCAAAGCGGGCTCCAGGCTCTGAGCTGTCAGCACAGAGCCCGACGCGGGGCTCGAACTCACGGACCACGAGATCATGTCCTGAGCCGAAGTCGGATGCTTAACCGACTGAGCCACCCAGGTGCCCCCAAAGTAGAGCACTTTTAGATGGTGGACCCTATTCCACCAGATGCAAACTGGAGATAATAACCACACCTTCTGCATAGGGTCGTTGCCAAGAATAAATACAATAACACATGTGAGGGTTGTGGCGTGTGTAAGTGCTCACTCCAGGCTCACTCCAACACCAGCACGTTAGTCAATTACTTCTAGGGAAGTCGTATCTCTAGGACGATACTTACCCTGCTAGATCAAGAACATGGATTGTTGGGATTACATTTGTTCCATCTCCAAACACTGGCAACGCAGGGACCTCACCCAACCAAGCCATCTAAAAGAAAAGCAAAAGCGTATTTTCCCTGGTTATACATAACTATTATGGCTCACACACACAGCCATAGTCAGGGGCATCCGAAAGACCCACTTATCTGATGAAGTCATCGCCTAAGGGGATGTTTTGAAAATCAGTTCTTTCTTTTTTTTATTAAAAAAAATTGTTTTAATGTTTATTTATTTTTGAGAGAGAGAGAGAGAGAGAGAGAGAGAGAGTGAGAGAGCAGGGGAGGGGCAGAGAGACAGGGAGACACAGAATCCGAAGCAGCAGGCTCCAGGCTCTGAGCTGTCAGCATGGAGCCTGATGGGGTCTTGAAGTCACAAGCTGTGTGATCATAACCTGAGCTGAAGCTGGACGCTCAACAGACTGAGCCACCCAGGCGCCCCTGAAAACCAGTTCTGATGGGATTTAGTTGCTGATCGAGTCCTATTAAGAGAAATAGTGTAACCTCAGGGCTGAAATACTTCACAAGAAATCTCTTTCCTGGCTCTCTTCAGGAGTCATCTGCGTGGCGTCTATACAGAAAGGAAACGTTTTCATATGCGTGACACCTTCCACTCTTACCAAAAAATGTGAATTCAAGTCTAAAATTCCTCCCACAGGGCCAGGGATAATTAGTATCAGTATCAGTATCAGTATTAGTATCATCAACTAAGATGAAATGCTTAGTTGATAAAGTATTCTGCAGGAGGCTACATTTCTGATGAGTTAGGGAGCCTGGATTTGAACTCTGGTCTTCAGGGTCCAAGTCCTTGTCTTTTCCCTGCATTAGGTATTTCAGTAAACAGACAGTCTGGGTATTGTTCAGCTGTCAGGTACTAGATTATTTTAAATTGCTTTTATTTTTTCAAAGTCTATTTATTTTGAAAGAGAGAGAGCACATGAGCAAAAGAGCAGGGGAAGGACAGAGAGAGGGAGAGACAGAATCCAAAGCAGGCTCCAAGCTGTCATTGCAGAGCCCAATGTGGGCCTTAATCTCACGACCCCGAGATCATGACCTGAGCTGAAATTGAGAGTCAGACACTTAACCGACTGAGCCACCCAGGAGCCCCTTAAGTGACTTTTAAACAGTCAAAGAGGTAGGCGTGGGGGCCACAGCAAACCACTGGATCTTGTAAGATATTTTGGACTCTGCAAAACCACTGAAGAACTTTAAGCAGTAGACCGTTGAATTTGAAGCAGTAAACCACCGAAGAATTGACATCAGATTTGCTTTTGTCGCCACTAGAAAGAATGATGGGGATTAAGAGTTGAAACGGGAAGGTGGAGGTCAGGACAGTTGTGCAGACAAGAGATGTCTGCCCTCCCCAGCCCGTGGGTGGAGGACTGGGGGAGCGCGGTTGGAGAGAAGGGAGATACTGGGGAGGTTGGCTCTACAGTACTGGGGGGTTTCGTGATGGATGAGGAGGAGGGAGGGGTTGGGTGTGGTTGGTGCGGCTGGGTGGAAGAAGGTCCCATTTTCGGAGATGAGGTCCTAGAGGAACGGCAGGTTTGGGGGTGACCGTAGGTGGAGTTTGGGTTTGTGAACCATCCAAAGTGAGGTGTCGAATAAATAGGCAGCCAGATGTACAGAGCTAGGACTAGGGAGAGAGCCCTGCTGGAGAAACTTATGTTTGAGAGTCATTGGCCCCAGTCACGGGAATGGACAGACCCACCCAGGGAAAGAGTGTAGACAGAGAAGACCAGAGGGTCTGGGGCAGGAACCTGAGAAAGCCAACATTCAGTGGTCAGGTGGGTGAGGGGTAGCTGAGAACCGATAAGGAGAGACTACAAATGGACATCATCACCTACCATTGTCCCACACTTCGGCCCCACGCAGCTTCTTGCTGTCCCTTAACACAGCCCACACATTGCTGCCTCCGGTCTTCGTGCTTACAGTTCCCGCTGCCTTTCCCCCAGAAAGCGAAGGAGCCGCCTCCCTTTTCACTTCCTGCTCACATGTCCCCTCATGAGAAAGGCTTTCCCCGACCATCATATCCAAGATACAACCTCCTAGCCCTACCGCCGGCTCTCTTTCTGCCTTTCTCTGCGTTGTTGCTTTCCATTTTGTTTTTCAACAGCTGAAATACTCAACGTGTACTGGCTAATTTGGCCCTTGTCTACTACTCTCCTCCTCTTCCCCACTGGAATCCAAGCCCCACAAACGCAGGGATTTTATTACGGCATCGGATTCCCCGAATCTACAATGGTTTCCGGCCCATGGGAGGCATCGACGTTTGTCTCATGAATGAAAGGAGATCCATCTTGTTCCCTTATTATGCCAAGAGTGTGGTAAATACGAGTTGTTAGTAACAGGAAAGGAAAATAGAAAAAGAAAAAATCTTCAAATTGTATAACCTTACGGTAAAATGCTTTAAAAAAAAAACTTCAGTCATTGAAAACTCATACCTTGAAAAAATAATGTAAGATGCCTCCTTCCACTCCATACTGAAGTCCAGCAGCAACCACGTAAGTCGCGAATTTTTTGACCTATTAGATAAAGTACAGGAGAAAAGCTAAATGTAATATTATTAATCATACCAAACCAGATTATTTTCGTGGTTAGAATGAGTACTATATGAATGCTTCTGACCACTATTAAAATTGATGTGGTACATTTTTTTAAGTTTATTTATTTATTTTGAGAAAGAGAGAGATCGAGCGTGAGCAGGGGAGGAGCAAAGACAGAGAGAGACAGAGACAGAGACAGAGATAGAGACAGAGATAGAGAATCCCAAGCAGGCTCCACACTGTCAGCACAGAGCCTCACGAACTAGGAGATCATGACCTGAGCCAAAACAAGAATCAGATGCTTAACCGACTGAGCCACCCAGGTGCTCTGGGACTTTTTTTTTTTTTAATTTTTTTTTTTTAACGTTTATTTATTTTTGAGACAGAGAGAGACAGAGCATGAACGGGGGAGGGGCAGAGAGAGAGGGAGACACAGAATCGGAAGCAGGCTCCAGGCTCTGAGCCATCGGCCCAGAGCCCGACGCGGGGCTCAAACTCGTGGACCGCGAGATCATGACCTGAGCCGAAGTCGGACGCTTAACCGACTGAGCCACCCAGGCGCCCCTGGGACTTTTAACTAAAAGCCAGAGACGATTATGTGTGACACCTTAACACCTCCATGCACTATACTGGCACCTACAGAAGAAGGGAGATATAAAAATGGGTCCTTCCATGACGATCTTTACTTACCCAGTAGGGGAGGCGGACACACATACGGAGTTTCTAGGAACGGGCCACACTACAACATGTGATATTGTGATTCATAACAAGATACATATATTCGGTTTTCATCTCCATATCTGGCACTGAGTTCCTACAACTACAGGAATGTCCTAAGCAATAGAGTGATCAAGGTGTCTTTTGTTATGTCAATCAGGTGACTTTTGGACCCAATCTGGAGATGTGGGTTGATTGCCTGAAGCGCCAAGCTTGTGACCAGAAGGTCAGAACTTCCAACTCCTGTACCACCTCCAGGGAGGGGTGAGGGGTGGAGAGGAGTTCAGTCACCAATGGCCACCATGATGAAGTCTCCATAAAAGCCCAAAAGGAGGCTTGGATAGCTTCTAGATTGGTGAAATGTGTGCAGACTCGGGAAGAGTAAGGAAACTCCATGACTTTCCCTATCCCTTGCCCTGTGGATCTCTTCCATCTGGCTCTTCTGGAGTTATATTCTTTTTTTTTTTTTTTTTTTTTTTTTTTTTCAAGATTTATTTATTTTTGGGACAGAGAGAGACAGAGCATGAACGGGGGAGGGGCAGAGAGAGAGGGAGACACAGAATCGGAAACAGGCTCCAGGCTCCGAGCCATCAGCCCAGAGCCCGACGCGGGGCTCGAACTCACGGACCGCGAGATCGTGACCTGGCTGAAGTCGGACGCTTAACCGACTGCGCCACCCGGGCGCCCCTGGAGTTATATTCTTAAAAGTGTATTTATTTATTTTTGAGAAAGAAAGAGAGAGCGAGTGAGGGCAAGAGAGTGAACAGGGGAGGGGCAGAGAGAGAGGGAGAGAGAGAATCTCAAGCAAGCTCTGCGTTGTCAGCACAGAGTCCAACATGGGGCTCGAATTCATGAACCGTAGGATGGTGACCTGAGCCGAAATCCAGAGTTGGGCATTTAACCAACTGAGCCACCCAGGTGCCCCTGAGTTATATTCTTTTATTATAGCAAACTGGTAATCTAGTATGTAAAATGTTTCTCTGAATTCTGTGAGCCACTCTAGCAAACTATTCAAACCTAAGGTGGGGGAGGTGAGTGGGGTCATTGGAACCTCCGACCCATATGGGTTGGTCAGAAGCACAGGTGACAACTTGGGCTTGCAACTGAAGAGGGTAGAAGCAGAAAAATGTTCACCTTTAGCTCAGAAGGCTGACCTATAGCCTGCATAGTTTTGATAAGGATCAAATACATACGGGTTGCTACATTCTTCTAGGGTCTCATGACTCCCCGTGTATTTCACTGACAGTTAATATTGAACTGAATGATACGCACCAGAGAAATCTCGTGAAAGTAGTTTCACCAGTAGAAATTCAAAGCAGCATTTCTGATCTCATACTTCTTGCGCGTCCCTACCCCCTTGAGCACTCAGCATATAACCACCAGCTTCGTACAGAAAAAGTGCAGCCCTTTCTGCCCACGGATCCTGTCCCCATGCTACTTAAATGAACTTACTAAGTTGTTACATACACCGTCTCAAGAATTCTTTCTTGACCGTTGCGCTCGACGACCCCACAACACAACTGGTGTCTGAAGAGGCAAGGGGCAGGCTTGCAGGGCTGAGCCCTAGCGGGAACTGACGTCACCTCTAGGAAGATAGTGTCAGAATTGAGTTGAAATGTAGGACACCCAGCTGGTGCCGAGACTGTCTTTGCCTCGTGGAAAACCCCTCCCAGGGTGTGCGTGCGCACACGTTGGAACTGGGTCCAGAAACTCTGTTCGGAAAATGAGTCTCTTCTGCTCCAGGTGGTGGATTAAAAAATCTAAAGCCTCCTAGCGCGAATACCAAAAAATGCCAAATAAGATGCCACTCATATCCTGCCAGCAAGGCAGAATTCTCAAGGAAATAAGAGCTGCCCGCTAGGAACCAAAAACAGAAGTGACTCAGTGGGTTGAGTGTCCGACTCTTGATGTCAGCTCAGGTCGTGGTCTCACAGTTTGTGGGTTCAAGCCCCTCATTGGGCTCTGAGCTGACAGGGCGGAGCCTGCTTGGGATTCTCTCTCTCCCTCTCTGCCTCCCCTGCTCATGTGTGCACGTGCTCGCTCTCTCTCTCTCTCTCTCAAAATAAATAAATAAAAACTTAAAAAAAAAAACAAACCAGAAGTGAAAACAAGAGTGGGGAGAGCAGAGAGTTGGGCCACAGTATGAAGGGTGCATTCACAACAAAAGGGTGACCTTAGAAGGAAGTCCTCCCTGCGACAGAAGACGGAGAGAAAGAATCATGTCCAACCTAGCCAAGGCTTTGGAAGGAAAAACGCTCCCTGGAGAATTTTAACCTTGGCCTTGTACTTTTCAAAGGTTTGTCTTTCACATTTAAATTCCCTGCTTAATCCAGATATTCCAGAGTCAAAAAGTAACATAAAAAGCATTTTAGGCAGTGAGACTCTTTAGAGCACTTCAGAGAGGCAGATACAAAGCCCATGCTACCCCCACCCAGGGACCTCCCTTGTCCCTTAAAGCCCCAGTAAAGGGACAACGCTGGGGCAAGAGTGGTGACTTATGGTAGCAGAGGTGTGCTGGTTTGAGGGCACAGCATTGACCGTGAAGCCAATAACAAACTGTAAGGCATGTTCACATGGTGAATTCCCATTTCCCACTGACCATGATGAATCCTGAAGGCACCCAACTCATGAACATCCTTGAGACTTTTATAGCAGCACTTTTGGTGAGCACAGACTTCGCATTAGCTCCCTTTCCCCTGAGAACTCATCTACATGAGGTTTTTAGGGTCGATGAGCTATTAAATAACCAACGTCGACAATTTAAAGAGATGCTATTTAAAAAAAAAAAATCCATGTCAAATTACAGGATTATTTTTATAATTGGAGTTCCATAAATCGCCAGAAAATATGTTTATTAATAGTGACTTTGGGGGCGCCTGGGTGGCGCAGTCGGTTAAGCGTCCGACTTCAGGCAGGTCACGATCTCACGGTCCGTGAGTTCGAGCCCCGCGTCAGGCTCTGGGCTGATGGCTCAGAGCCTGGAGCCTGTTTCCGACTCTGTGTCTCCCTCTCTCTCTGCCCCTCCCCCGTTCATGCTCTGTCTCTCTCTGTCCCAAAAATAAATAAACGTTGAAAAAAAAAATTAAAAAAAAAAATAGTGACTTTGTAGAAAAAGACCTTACTGAAAATGAGCTCACAAACCAAAATTACAAAACTTATGAGGGAACAAACAATCCACCACAAATGAAATCAGACTTGCACTGCCTTCAGAAAATAAATTAGCAGAGGGGCGCCTGGATGGCTCAGTCGGTTACACGTCCGACTTCAGCTCAGGTCGTGATCTCACGGTTCCTGAGTTTGAGCCCCACGTCGGGCTCTGTGCCGACAGCTCGGAGCCTGGAGCCTGCTTCGGATTCTGTGTCTTCCTTTCTCTGCTCCTCTCCTGCTCATGCTCTGTGTCTCTCTCTCACTCTCAAAAATAAATAAGCATTAAAAAAAAGAAAGAGTAGAAATGAGCAGAGATTGTGGAATAAATATGTTTGTACTGATGAAAAAATAAAGACATGGGAAACAAAGGAAACGGACACAATGATGAGGGTGGTGACAACAGAGATGATGATAAAGAACAGGCAGGTGTAGAGTAAGGAACAGAGAGGAGTCAAGGTTGCTGATTTAAGGTGGAGGAAGAGAGTTGACCACATCCTAGCCTCCCTCCCCACTGCATTCATCAGAGCCTGAGTCAGGCTGAGCTAGCAGGAGAGAAGTTTAAAATTAAATGGTAGACTGATGGCTTTAGTATTAAACTTGTCTGAGCCTTTGTAAGAACTAGAAGAGACTCCATTAATACCTGAGAATGGTCTGGAAAGCTGTGGACTTGGCTGGAGATATTGTCCTGCTCTCAATTATTAAGAAAAAATAAACAGATTTTATAGTTTCATTCTGGCAATGTCAAACACTGTGAAGGGGTTACAAGACTGTGCCTTGAAATGAGCACGCCAAAAATCTAACATGATATCAAGGAGATATGGATAAATGTACTCCATAGTATATCCCTGTCAGTAATCGATAAACTCAGGAGACCCCAAACTAGTAAGATATGCAAAACACCGTTAAGAAACTTGACCTAAGTAGACATATATAGAAACTCCACACAGTTTGAAATACACAGGTTTTTCAAGTCCATGTGGAAATTAAAATAAAAACAACACAGGCCATGTACTATGTAGCAAAGAATCTCATGACCAAATTCTCTGACCACATTCTCTGACCACCCCAGACCACATTCTCTGACCAAAAAGCAATTAAGTTAGAAATGAACAACA